GCTGTTAAATAACACCTTTGCTAAAAAGTTTTAAAATGCATAGGAAGAAATTATTTCTGATTTGCATTCTTTCTTCAGAATGTTTTCATCTTTAGTGACTTTCAAAGGAAAAAATAATAGTTTCCCTTAGTGGATATGCTGTTTTGCTAGGGCTGCTGTAACAAAGCACCACAAATAGCTTAAGCAACAGTAACTTACTGTCTCTCTGTTCTGTAAGCTAGAAGACCAAGACTGAGATGTTGGCAGGGCTGGTTCTTCTGAGGGCCATGAGGGAGAAAATCTATTCCATGCCTCTCTTGTAGCTTGTGATGGTGTGCTGGCAGTCTTTGGGGTTCTCTTGACTTGTAGATGTGTAACCCTGAACCTTGCCTTCATCTTCATGTGGTGTCCTCCCTGTGTGTATTATTGTCTCTGTGTTCAAATTTCCTCTATTTATAAGGACATCAGTCATATTGGATTAGCCTTCACCCTAATGACCTCATTTTAAGTTGATTATATGCAAAAACCCTATTTCCAAATAAGGTTGCATTCACAGGTACTGAGAGTTAGGATCTCAAAGTCTTGTAGGGGGCACAGTGCAACTCATAATAGTAAGCAATTTCTTCTGAGATAATAGATTTTAAAACTCTGTTGTAGTGGTTATATATATAAATTTTCAGTTTATCAAGTCATTGGTATAATTATATGCACATATACCCATAAATGAGTCGTGTCTGAATATTTGTTTTAGAATAGGACTGATTTTGCACTAGCATTGTTTTTTTATTCACTAGTATTCTTGTAGAAAATTGTAGGAAGAACAAACTGGGGAACTATTCAAGAAGGATTTCAATAAATAATGTGATTGGATGTCACAGTTTGTGGGGCAGATAATGAGCTTTTGGTTATGCATGTATAATATTATTATAGCTGTTGGTGACCACGCTAAAGCTGTTGACTGTGTGGATCACAACAAACTGGAAAATTCTTAAAGAGATGGAAATACCAGATCACTTCACCTGTCTCCTGAGAAACCTATATGCAGGTTAAGAAGCAACAATTAGAACTGGACATGGAACAATGGACTGGTTCAAAATTGAGAAAGGAGTACATCAAGGCTGTATATTGTCACCCTGCTTATTTAACTTATATGCAGAGTACATCATGAGAAATGCCAGGTTGGTTGAAGCACAAGCTGGAATCAAGATTGCTGGGAGAAATAGCAACAACTTTAGATAGGCAAATGATACCACTCTAATGACAGAAAGCAAAGAGGAACTAAGGAGCCTCTTGATGAGGGTGAATGTGGAGAGTGACAAAGCTGGCTTAAAACAGCATCCAAAAAATGAAGATCATGGTATCCAGTTCCATCACTTCATGGCAAATAGATGGGGAAAAAGAAGCAATGACAGATTTTATTTTCTTGGGCTCCAGGTCACTGTGGATGGTGACTGCAGCCATGAAATTAAACGATGATTGCTCCTTGGATGAAAAGCTATGACAAACATAAACAGTGTATTAAAAAGCAGAGATGTCATTTTGTTGACAAAGGTCTGTCTAGTCAAAGCTATAGTTTTTCCAGTAGTCATGTACAGGTGTGAGAGCTGGACCATAAAGGAGACTGAGTGCCAAAGAATTGATGCTTGTGAACTGTGGTGTTGGAAAAGACTCTTGAGAGTCCCTTGGACTGCAAGGAAATCAAACCAATCACTCCTAAAGGAAATCAGTCCTGAATATTCATTGGAAGGACTGATGCTGAAGCTGAAGCCCCAATACTTTGACCACTTGATGTGAAGAGGTGGCCAAGTAATTGGAAAAGACCCTGATGCTGGGAAAGATTGAGGGCAGGAGGAGAAGGGGGCAACAGTATGAAATGGTTGGATGGCATCACGGACTCGATGGACATGAGTTTGAGCAAGCTCCGGGAATTAGTGATGGACAGGGAAGCCTGGCATGCTGCAGTCCATGGGGTTGCAAAGAGTTAGACATGACTTAGCGACTGAACAGCAACAAATGATGAGGTTAGGATTTAGATAGGCGTTCAAGGTCAGAGGAAGTTACAGGAGCAGAAAGGAAATGGGTTTATGTTCTGATGTAGGTGTGAGTATTTTATGTCTAGTGGGCTGTGGTCGTGAAGGGAGCCTCTAGAGTCAGTTGTTGTCAAGTTGTCAAGGAATCCTGGCACCGGCCATTTAGGGTTAATGCCAGTTGTGGCTTTTATGTTTCAAGAAATTGCCCCCTGAAATTTATTTTTAATTTTAATGTGTGGGAAATTTTGAATATATCAGTGACAAGAAGAAAAGTGTGACCTGTAATCCCAGTACCCTGAGCTTATCATTATATTTTGGTATCTTGATATAATTTCTTTGAAATTCCTGCTCTGCTGTTTGGTTAAGGTTATATCACATAAGCAGTTTTCTAAAATAAATTAGAATCTGTAGTAGTCTCTAAATGTATATCTAAATTTAAAATCCACTGGCTAACAAACCTAATGGTTACTCATGGACTAGGTCACCATAGTTTTCATAAACCATTAAAGTCAAGTCATCTTTGTTTCATGATTTGGTCCCATGCCTCTCTTGTCTTGTCTTCCCTCTGATCTTTCACACTGCTGCCAAGATCTTTTTAATGGTCATGTTGTGTTCTTGGCTTATCTCCTTTAGCCGGGACAGAGCTGTAGCCTTTTAGTATCATAAGGCATCTCTGTGATCTTCTGTATGTCTTTTCCCCCCCTCATTTGCTACTTTTCCAAAAGCTTCTCAAAGTTCTCAATATATTGTGTACTCTTTTGCATATCGATAATTTTTCACTCTTTCTTTCGCTTAGAATGCCCTTTCTCAAAAAAAAAAAAAAAAAAGAAAATGCCCTTTCTCTGTTTATCCTGTTCAGCAGCTACTTGTTCTTTAGTACTCATCTCACATGACGTCTCCTCTCTAAAGCCTTTGTTCTAAGCCAGTTTTCCTCCCTTTAGTATTTGTAGCACTTTCTATTAAACTTCTTATAAACTTGATTTCAGTGTATTATATGGCTGTCTTCCATCTTTATCTTTCTTACTAGACTGAGTTTTTAAGGGCAGGGATCATGTGTTATTTATGCTAATATCCTTGGAAGTTAACATGGTACCTAGTAGGTGTTTGAGCAAAACATTCATTGAATTAATAAATCATTTTATTTTTTCATCTCATTGTGTCCTGCCAAGAATGGTGGGTGTAGTTAGCATAAGTGATGATTTTGGGGGTGATAAGTGGACGAGTAAGATGACTAGTTCAGTTCAATTTACCAAACATTTATTAAGCATTTAAAAATTGGAAGGTGCTCTGCTATGCATTGTGGAAATGGGAACCACAATGAAGAGGAAGTGTAAGAGTTTGCAGCCTAATTTTCAATTTTGATGAGTTGGTGAGAGATGATGGTAAGGAAAATAATGAAGAGTTGATAAGGAGAATGACCTTTTTAAACAGAATTGTGACTGGAAACAGTTTAGTGCCTTAGAATTAACAGTTTGTTAACAGTTTGTTTACAGGTGGCAGTAGACCTCCATCACAGGTTGCAGCCAATTTTCTCAACATTCCTGTTGAAATCTCCTTATCTCCGTTTGCAGGAGGAGCCCCAGAGCCTCATCCCTGTGGTAGCTAACTTGTTCTGGTATGATGCCATGCTCGGCTACCTCGTCCTTCCCGTTCTAGCAGAGGACCTGGGTTGGAATTTAGCTTTTTATTATTGCAGGAAATATGTAGAAGTGGAAGTGGGGAATGTTTTGGTAATACTGATATTGTGACTTCTTTGAGACTGTGTACTATGTCTTGTTTTCATACCTGATATGGAACCCCCAAATAAACTCAGGGTCTTCCCTGCTGGCTCAGATGGTAAAGAATCTGCTTGCAAGGCAGGAGACCTGGGTTTGATCCCTGGGTCGGGAAGACACCTGGAGGAGGAAAGGGCAGCCCACCCCAGTATTCTTGCCAGTATCCTTCCACAGACAGAGGAGCCTGGCGGGCTACAGTCCATGGGGTTCCACAGGGTCAGACACGACTGAGCGACTAACACTGCTCATCATAGGTGCTTAGCATCGTGATTTCGTTTGAATTGTATCCAGTTGTTAGCTGCTTCTTACCTATTTTTTTAATTAAATTTTTAAAATTTTAATTTTTTGACTACTTTGGCCACACCACGTAGCCTGTGGGATCTTAATTCCCTTTCCAGGGATCAAACCCATGACTCCTGCATTGGAAGCACAAAGTCTTCACCACTGGACCTCCAGGAAGTTCTGCTTCTTACTAATTTTTAACAAATATTAATCTCTTACTCCCTTAAATAACAAAGAAACCCATGCATTAATTTTACTTTTACTATAAAGTATATCTTCAGCAATGTTTAACTAGCTTCCTCAACTCTTATGAAGGAGATTCATCTGGCAACTGATTAAATTCCATATCAGGAATATTTAATTACAAAACCTCTGTTCTGCATTAACATGAATGAACACTGAATCGAGTAACTAAAGTACTTTTTCTTCATGAAAAGTAGAAGTATTTTTCAGGATTCTGGGAAATGTTGAAATAATTTTGGTTGTAGTCATACTGTTTTTAATGCTATTGAGAATATTGCTAACATTAACAAAAATATTCTGTAATTTCCTCAGTTATTGCTACTGGTGATGAGGGATGTAAAGTTGGCATGCTCTCATGTTTTGAGCATTTTCATTACATACTTTGGATTTTACATGTCAGATGCAATTTTTGTTTTAGTTAAGATGGCTGAGAACATTTTTACTTAGGGATAGAGGTCAAGCTGTGATTATTTGTATTTTTAGGTCAGTGATATATAGAATACAATTAACGTATCAGAGTAAATACATATGCAATTTTGTTTTTAAGTATTATACAGTATTTATATATTTTTGTGACTTCATTTTTAGTTCATTGAAACACAGTGGTTGGGACCAAGGCATAGGTTTCATTTCTATGTTGATAATTCTATTTTGTTACTTTCTGTGACTATTGGTAACACTTATCTTGCAGATACAAGCTATTATTCACCAGGGAGTTTTGGCAAGAGAATGGCTGGATCAGGAAGTCTGTCTTCACTGTGGAAAATCAGCTTGAAGCTTGTCTTTATTGATGGTGAGTCAGTGTCATCTTCATACTAGCATTATTTTATATTTTCAATGTTCTCAAACAACTGTTTGGTTTAAACATTTTTTTGAGACATTATTAGGATTTTGGGGGTGACAGAGGCTGAGATGGTTGAATGACATAACTGACTCAAGGGACTTGAAAGTAAAAGTCGCTCAGTCATGTGGGACTCTGTGTGACCCCATGGACTATATATAGTCCATGGAATTCTCCAGGCCAGAATGCTGGAGTGGGTAGGTGTTCCCTTCTCCAGGGGATCTTCTCAGTCCAGGGATCGAACCCAGGTCTCCTGCATTGCAGGCAGATTCTTTACCAGCTGAGCCACCAGGGAAGCCCCAATGGACTTAGTTTGAGCAAACTCCAGGAGATGGTGAAGGACAGGAAAGCCTGGCATGCTGCAGTCCATGAAATTGCAGAGTTGGACATGACTGAGTGACTAAACAACATTGGAATGTTAAAGCATAGTGCTTCATTACTTGTGTCTAAAGGATTGTATAAAATTGGAATGGAAGTAATAATTTGCTATTTATGAATATTCCTAATAAAAGTAGTTTGATTAGCTTCTTTCTCTCACCTCTGTTCTTATTTCTGTATAACACATGCTAGCTGACTTACAATTCATGATTTTTATTTGAATAAATATGACTAGAATAGAATCACCTGTATCATATGCTTATTTTAAAATATATTACTGATTTTAGGAAATTTTAGAATAATTGCAGTGTAATTGGAAAGATTCTCTTCCATGTTCAAATATATAGATTATGATCTTTCAACTGGTACTTGATGTTAATGCTTGCCCCACATTTGCTATCTCAGAAACACAGTGAATGACTACATATATATGTTTAATATTATCACAAAAGTTAGTAGTGTATCTATATAGCAATCTGTAGTTCAGGTTAATATCATTTAATGCATATTTAATAATCATAACTTCATTTTACTATAGTAATTACATTTTTGACTTGACCCAAGTTTACCTAACCTTGAGTATGTGTATATAAGTATAAGTAGCTTGATACAGTTACCAGTGTTGCTTTGGCCATCTATTCTAGTTATTTTCATTTGAGTCAGCTCTATTGTCAGACTGTCAAAGTAAAAGTAAATTTTCTTTTACAGTCTTGCTTTACTAGTATTCTGCTTTTTTTGTTGCTTTATTGTTATTATCTATTTCTTTTTCAGGTTATAAACAAATCCCAAGATCAGAGACTGTTAGGACTGATGCTCACTGAAGTCAAAGAAAGACCTCACTCTAGGGAGAAGATCCTTATACTACAGGTACATGTCATTATGTGATTATAACCAGCCTCATCATCTGTACTAAATATTTTAGTAAGAGGCAATGAAATTCAAGAAAGGAATGACGTGGCACTGTATTTGGAGAAAAGGTTTGACTGTAGTTTCCCTTTTCCTGAAAGAGGCTCCCAATAGTCCTATAGTAAGATTGGACTCACCCTTCCCATGCTCTGTAAGTAATTAAGTATAACTTGATGCATTTTTCAAAATCTTTTCCCTTTAAAACATTGTTTTTAGATGATTTTCTCATATTATTATTTTCACATTAAGCATACATCAGATATTTTCAGTTGGACTAGACTTTGGAAATTTCTTTAAGAGTATAATGCAAATAAACCAAAATTTTTTAGTGTATAAATGAGTTTATCATAACTAGAATAATTTCTATTCTATCTGTAATAATAAGATACGATTTATTGAATAATTACTATTTGCTCAGCCCTGTGCTAAGTGCTTTCTGTACTTAGTGTATCTTCACAACAGTGTTGTGGGACAGGAATCATTATCCCAGGCTTATAGATAAGGCAACTAAGACTCAAAGAGGTTAATAATTTGTATAAAGTAAAGTGAAGCCGCTCAGTCGCGTCCAGCTCTTTTCGACCCCATGGACGGTAGCCTGTTGGGCTCCTCCATCCATGTGATTTTCTAGGCAAGATACTGGAGTCGGTTGCCATTTCCTTCTCAGGGTATAAGATTGTAGCTAACTCAGGATTCCAACCCTGGACTCTCTGATCTGAGTTCCTGTTTATAAATGCTGCATTAAGCTGCATGAAGCTTTTATGTATGCAATTCAGGACTCGGGTACTTTATTTTTGAAACATAGTCTGGCTAGTTCATAGTGATTTTGTACTACTGATTGAGGTACACCAAAACGTGTCTATGTAAAACACTTGCTTTTGTGACTTTACGTGGACATAATGTTTGAAAGTCAATATATTATCCATGTTGTTTGTGTATGCATATACATATATCACACATATGACTTCTCTAAGTAGAATCTTGATATGCTTCCTTGGTAAACTTGGTATATTTTTAGTGTTTGCCACACTCTTCAGAATTGCTGTTCAATTCACAAGTCTACTAGAGGCTGAGACCCTTTCTTTGGGAGATTATTTACATGTGAATATAAAATAAGTAGGCTAAAATAGTGGTATTAGTTCTCTGTCAGCTACATAATAAAATGTAAAATGTTAATTTGACTGTTGTGAAGGAAGTCAGATGCATAAATTGTTTAGACATATGGAAACCTATGGCCCTGTGATTTTTATGCTTAAAGTTCTTCAAAAGTTTCTATTATTTATAAAACATATATTGTGTTAGTGTACTTACAGAACTTTTTTGATCTGTCACATACTACTTCAGGCTTACTTCTGGCAGCCTTCTCCCTCACCACCCAACTTCATATATATTTTTTACATGTTAACTTTAGTTAAACTGAATAGCTTGTGGTCACCCTACAGTAATTAGCTACTTGGCACTTCTTTATTAATATTCTCCTTCTTACCATTATGATCTTTTCTCCTTGCTGCCTGGTGAATAGTGACTTTTCATGTAAGATTCAACTTTGTTATCTCTCTCAAGCTTTTTGTGACTACTGACCTCTGTCATTATACCTTATATTCTTTGAGTCTTTCCAGTACATAGATCTATTCTAGAACCTTTATTTGTTTGCCTGTATGAATCTTTCCAACTAGATTATGGGTCTCTCAAGGGTGAGTGCAAAGGCTATGTGTCTGATTCATTTTTACGTCCCCCATTTTTAGCAAAGTATCTGACACATAATGGATGCTTAATAAGCATTTGTTGAATGAATGGTTAATCTTTGTAGGAAAGGGAAGATGATTCTCACAGTTGGTGTGATAATGGTGATAAATTGAATTCCAAGGTAGAGTGCTGTTATACTTTTCTGGGACTATTCAGAATGAAAAACAGTATCTTTCCTGAGGTCTCACTATAATTGTCCTTGCTTCTTGGAGTCAGTATAGTGTACACCTGGAATTTTGTTATCTTGAGCATTTATTATTGGAAATTAATCCACAAAATTTAGATAGTTGAATTTTTCATAAATATTCGATTTTAATAATGAGTGGAATAGGTCTTGACTTAAGGACTTATTACTTTCCATAAGGAGGGCCACGGATGGTCTGGTGTTATAATCAGTCTAAATTCAGATAAAGACTTTTTTGCTTGAAAATTATGAAAAATACAACAAAGAATGAGTCTATTTTTATCACATTTAAAGTTCTATTTGCTTTACAACTGTGTAGTTCTTATGTCATGCCATTCTCATAACATGCTAATAATAGCCAATATTATCAGAGTGACAAATTCTTACATAATTTAGTATTTTTACATTTTGAAAAACACTAGTTTATCATATTACCCCTTTAGTAATATGCCAAGCTGTAAGTTGGTTTATATATTTTATATTTCTAATTTAATAAGATTATACTAATAACTATAGATATATCTATTATATACTTCAATATGACTGTATATTATAATAACTAATATTATGTATATTTAGCAATAAATATATATTATTTAATAACATATATTAGAGGTCAAAAGTTCTTTGGCCATCAGCTTATGTTATAGTTTTAACTGAGGAAATAGTATGCAATGAAGATATTAAAGGAGGTTTAAGGCTTCTGATATTAACAAAATTCTGTTAAATGATTTTAGACTATATAGAAAGAACTTGAGAAAGTATTCTGAACTAGAATAAGCTATCCAGAAATAGCATATTCACGAAATAATTTAAATAAAATAAGGCAAGTGTTGAGGGAGTTGGAAGAGAATGAAATTTTCTGTGCTAACGCTGTAATCACTAAGACTTTTAATTTTGTAGGAAGACATTAAATACTCTGGTCATTCAACTTGTGTATCCTTTAGCCTATTTAATAGTCAAAAACTTCTAAGTAAATATGTGCAATTTAATTTGTGCTGCTGAGAAACAGTGATCAAAAGTGGCAATAAAAGTCACATAATGAAATAAGAATACTAAAAAAAAATCCAGGGATTTTACTGTGGCTCATTATTCATTCCATTTCTGGCAGCCTTCATGATTACAAATCACTTGATTGACTAACTAGACATTCTCAAAGTGAATTATGAATCAGGTTCATTTTTCCTGGTTGATAGTTGGCACATGCTGTAACTCATACTTTGTGATATATCAAATTCTTGTAACAGTAATAAGAGATATAATCAACTCTTTACTTCAGGAAAACTAAATTGCCTTTTCAAAAAATGAAATGCGGTTGCTAACATTTTAACAACACAATGTAATTCCCGCTTCTGTATCCCAGGGTGGAAATCACAGTGATGACGTTATTTTTCAGATAAAAAAAATCTTTAGAATGATTTTCCATCAGGCATAAAACTCCTCTTGATATCAGTCCCCCATAGGCTGCCTGGGCAGCTGCCTGAGCCTAGGTTGCAAAAAACAGCAGTTACATTTCTTTCTCAGTATTTAAAAAATGCATGTTGGAGGAATTGTATATTTTTGTACAATTCCTTTGTAGGAAATGTGTTTTCCCCTAAATACCTAATAAAAAATGTTTTACAAAAGTTTTTTTTCTGAATAAAATCTTACACTATATTAATTTATGTGAAAAAGTGGATAGTAACTTATAACTATGTATAATTTTATAAACATAGCTATCATATTTTAGTTTTAATGTTGTGTTACTCTAGAATTGTCTGAAGTTCTTGAATTTATCCTTTAGTCACCTTGAAATTTAATTTTTGCCCCCTAACACCATTAATTATGTGCTTAGTAGTTAAAATTGCTATTAAACATCTTTTATGGGATTAAAATTTTATTCCTGATTAGGCAATGAATTATATATTTAATCAATTATTCATTTAAAAATTATGACCAAAAGATTAATTCTCCAAAGATGTTTTTAACAATATAAACCATCCTAGTAGAATTGAAATTATAGAATTAGTAATTAGAAATGAGAAGACAAAGGATCAACTTATTAATTTTATCAGTAGAAAAACAAACTTTAAATCTTTTATGACTTTGGTAGATTTTGTGAAATGACCATAAACTAAAGTGGGGCCATAAAACACTGTCATTTTTCAGCCTGGCTCAGTGCTTTTTACCTCTGTGACATAGCTGTCCATTTGAAATCTAGAAACATTTATTGTACTTCTTTAGGTATATTGAGGTAAGCAATAGATGGTAAAATGGGCTTTTGTTGCTGTGACCTGGCTATAAGACTTGGGAATAGAAGACTAGCGTGGAAAGGAGGACACAAGAACATTTTTTAAAGCCACAGAAATGGACTGAATTATTTTAATGATTTGTTTATGTTGACTAAGTAAAATAGATTTCTAGATTGTCTGCATTTTGTGATATATAACCTGATTGCTTCTATTAATTGATTCACTTGAAAAATTTAGCATTAGTAGAGTGAGAGGGAATGGAAGTGTCTATAAATTATGGGAAGACTGAAGTAAAATATATAAGAATAAATTTCTGGTATTTTACATTTTTAGGTGAGTATTTAACAGGGTCAGAATATTCAGTGTAAATAATATATGCCAAAGGCTTTTGTTCCAGTTTACACTTTAACCCTTGACATTTATTCTCCATCCCTTTTATCACTAGATGTACATATAAGAAAATAAAATTTGCATTTTGTAACATGTTCCAAGTGTCTCATATTACAGAAATATATATTGCATTTCTCAATATCAGCATTGCATTGGTATACCTTTTCTAGTTTTGTACAGTAGAAGTGGCAGTTTTTATCCTAGTAATATAAAGTGAATCTTTAAGTAGCATCTGCTATATTAAAATATATTTTTGGTTAAATCCTTCCTTGGCATAGATTTGATAAGCTCTTTATTTCTCTCGTGTGGGTATATGCTAAGGAGTGGAACTACGGATTAATAGGTGTGGAGTACACAATTATATCTTACTTTTTATTATATGAACACTAATAGGGTATTAGTGCATGTTGTAT